CATCTGCCTCAACCTGACTCTCTGGGCTTCCAGCAAGGTATCTCAAGTACTCTATACTTGCTGTCACCTCTTCCTATCTCTGTTCACTATCTAACTCAGTCTAATAGTGATAAACCTTTATTGAGCATTTATTATGTACAGAGTACTAAGATTTTCTTTAATGTTAATTATTTAATTACAACCGTATGAGATGATGATGCACTATTGGAAAGGCAACTGAGGCACAAATGTTACAAAACTTGCAGAAACCCTCAAAAATAGTAGCAGGGGCACCTGGGTGGCTCAGTCGTTAAGCATCTGCCTTCGGCTCAGGTCATGATCCCGGGGTCCTGGGATGGAGTCCCGCGTCAGGCTCCCTGCTCCGCGGGAAGCCTGCTTCTCCCTCTCCCACTCCCCCTGCTTGTGTTCCCTCTCTCGCTGTGTCTCTGTCAAATAAGTAAAATCTTAAAAAAATAATAATAATAAAAATAATAGCAGGTAGGCTGATAACAGAGCTGTACTCTTACCAATTTATCTTGCGCTGCTCCAATCTGGTTTAGGACCCCAGCAGTCCACCGAACAGGCTTTTCAAAAGGTCTACAATGGCCTACATATTGCCAAACCTAAAGGACATCACATGCTCACTGTACTCAATTTTGTAGAAGCTGTCAACAGAACTATTATCTTTCTCTCTTGGCTTCTGAGACACCAAACTCTAGATATCCTTTCTCCTTAGCACAGGAGATTGGCCACTTTCCCTTTTTCTACATGGCTCCTAAACATCGGAGTGCCAAGGCTCCAAACTAAGCTTTCTTGTTTTCTAAAACACATACTTTCCCTGAGTGATCTTATCCTATCACCTAACACTATCTAAAAGGTTGATTCCAAAGTTAGTGAGTGGTCTCTTATTTCCACATAGTATCAAACAAGCTTTTCAAATCTAATGTACCATAATGATTATTTTCCCTCCCGAAATACTTCTCCATAGCCTTCAACATTCTTTAATTAACCAGTTATACGTTTAAGTTGGCATTGTGCTTGAGGTCTTCCTGTTATCATGCACCTAAATCCTGTTAGCTCACCTCCAAAAAAAATCCCAGATTTATCCCTATCTCCAATGAAACATCTCTGTCCTAACCTCTATCACCTCGTGTCAGTGGTTATTCAACTCTAAAATGGTCACCCTGCCTCTACTCGTTCCCATTTCAATCCACTCTTCAAAAGCATCAAATGATCAAGTGTCAAAATGTTGGTCATATCACTGCCATACTCATTTTCTCGTTGCATTTAATAAAATCCAAGCCTTTGTTCAACACGTCCTATGATCCTTACATCTTATGCTCCATGTCTGTATCTTCAACCACATCCCACAAAACTTTCCCTTCCTACTAGTGCATTATTTTCCTTATCACAAAATGAAAAATATAACTCCTCACCCCCAACAAGAGCACTAGTAAAATCTCAAAAGGGCAGCAGCATGTTGTCTTGATACTGTGTATCTAATGTCTAGCATGTAATAGGTGGTAAGCAAGTATTTGTCAAAAAAGTTTGCAAAAGGGGCACCTGGGTGGCTCAGTCATTAAGCGTCTGCCTTCGGCTCAGGTCATGATCCCAGGGTCCTGGGGTCGAGCCCCGCATGGGGCCCCCTGCTCAGCGGGAAGCCTGCTTCTCCCTCTCCCACTCCCCCTGCTTGTGTTCCCTCTCTCGCTGTGTCTGTCAAATAAATAAAATCTTTAAAAAAAAAAAAAAGTTTGCAAGAGCCTTGTCTCTGATCTATGACACTGAAATAGTCTTAGCTCTCCCACTAAGTAGATGTAAAACACTAAGCTTGTCACTTACTTTTTTTTTAAGACATGGAAAAATATGAATACTACTTAAGAGAATTGTTCTGAAGATAAAAAGGTTTAGATCATCAGTTCTCAAAAGTGTGGTCCCTGGCACAACAGCACCGGCATCACCTGGGAACTTGTTAGAAATGCAAATTCTCAGGGTGCCTGGGTGGCTCAGTTGGTTAAGCGACTGCCTTCGGCTTAGGTCATGATCCTGGAGTCCCAGGATCGAGTCCCACATCGGGCTCCCTGCTCAGCGGGGAGTCTGCTTCTCCCTCTGACCTTCTTCCGTCTCGTGCTCTCTCTCATTCTCTCTCAAATAAATAAATAAAATCTTAAGAAATGCAAATTCTCAGCTCGCACTTCAGATTTACTGAATCAGCACTTCTGGAGGTAAAGCTCAAGCAACAAGCACTTTCGGTGACTCTAATGTACACTGAAGTTTAAGAATCACTGACTTTGATGAAAACACTATGGGGAAAAAAAGTAAGGCTAAATAAATGCCAGCTTATGTTATCATTACTTTGTATGACAAAATCACATTTGTTATTCATTGGTCGAAAATAGTAACATCACAAAGCCAGATTTTTTCACAAAATAGCTTGTGCTGGTGCTAGTATTTTAGAGACAGAACACCTTAAATTTGAAACACATATGCAATCAAGGAAAGCAAAGAAAGTGTTGCTTACATAACAGACACAACTAAGGAATACCTTAAATGGTAGATGTAAGGTTGACTGATAATTAGGACATTTTAGAGGTTTTTTTGTTGTGCTTGGATATATAAATAAAGGGGACTGTTTTGTGGCCCTTACATGGTTTGGGTATTACAGAAGGTAGCACTGTTTATCCAGGCAACGTGGGATTAACTAAGATTTATCTTACAAATCTTGTCTAATGATTCAGGTGTCTAACTGTCAAGTCACTTATCAATTAGAATGAAGTAAGACAGACGTACTTGGGGGTTCAGATCACCCACCTCCTGACATGCTGAGTAATAACAATTCTGAACTTCAGATTCAATTTTCCTCTATGGGTCGATACAACCAGTGTTGCTCTGTGGGGGAGGAGTCCTAGGCCATAGCCAGTGAACACATAAGGCATTCCCCTGGTTTTGTCTTAGGGTCAGGCTTTAATTACTCTGTTGACTCCAAAGCTGCACAAACATAGGAGCAGAGTTAAGAGTTAAGTGAAGCAAGACAGATTACGGAGAAAAAAATACTTTAGGAAAATGTTTTAGGACTAAAATCTTTATATACAATATTTTTAACTGACAGGTGATAAAATGGAGGCAATTTTAAAATGGTGTACAAACATGCGGTATAATTCCTCAGTAGATTAATATAGAACATCCTTTTTAATAAGGGGGTGGGGGGGCACCTGGGTGGCTCAGTCATTAGGTGTCTGCCTTCGGCTCAGGTCATGATCCCAGGGTCCTGGGATTGAGCCCCGCATCAGGCTCCCTGCTCGGCAGGAACCCTCCTTCTCCCTCTCCCACTCCCCCTGCTTGTGTTCCTTCTCTCGCTTTGTCTCTGACAAATAAATAAATAAAATCTTTAAAAAATAAAAAAAAGGGGGTGGGGGACTTCATATTAAAAAGGACTAAGATTTGGGGTGCCTGGGTGGTTCATTTAAGCACCCGGCTCTTGATTTCAGCTCAGGATATGATCTCAGGGTTTTGGGATCAAGCCCTGCATTGGGCTCTACACTCACCTAGGAGTCTGCTCGAAGATTCTCTCCCTCTTCCTCTGCACCCCGCCGCTCTCTTTAAAATAAATAAATAAATAAATCTTAAAGGGGGAGGGGAGACCTGAGCTGAGATCATTGTTGGAAGCTTAACCAAATGGGCCACCCAGGTTCTCCCAAAACTTAAGCTGTTCTCATGAAAATGTATAGGACAGCAAAATTGGTATTCCAAAATCAGTCTATCTGAAAAAGACAAGTTATATGAAGTATGTGCATGTACACTTATTTAACTAGAAGTTCTTAAAAATTTCTAAGCTCAAGTGTTATGTTGCAAAGTAATGTTAGAAATGTAAAGACAGACCATACAGTGCACACCATAACTGTAAAAATAAAACAGATTTGAATTATGCTGTCATTTTTAATTTTAATAAAATAGATAATTTCATATTACATAGAGAGCAAGTCCATCCACTCATCATTGATAAAATTTTAGAAATATTTTCTATAAAAAGTTTAGTACTTGATTGGGAATGAATCCATTAGAACATGATTTCTACAGGTACAGTGTTCCCATCCTCACCCCCATTCTTATTAATTTTGAGAAAATTTAAAAATACAGAAAAGTACAAAAAATAAGACAAGATATCCATATACCACAATCCAGAATTATCCAGTATTTTGATATATTTACTTGCAGTCTTTTTAATTTTTAAGAGAAATGGATGTTTATATATAAAATTGAAGTCCCCTTTAAACAGTCCCCATCCCATCCCTCCCACACTCATCCCCTTTCCCTTCTCCACTCTTCACAAGCAACCACTATCAAGAGTTTGGTCTGTGTCTTCCAATCCATTTCAGAAACATTTTAAAAACATACATACATATATGTATCCATTACCAATACATAGTACTGAATTTTGTGAGAAAAGTTTCAAAATTTACAAAAATGTCATTGTAATATATGTTATTCTGCAACTTCATTTTCCCCCTTCAACATGATTTTTGAGATCTTTATCTGTAATACATGTAAATCTCACTTGTTAAATTTTACAGATATACAGTATTTCATCATTAAGTATTTTCCATTTTATTCCCGATGGGCATTTAAGTTGTTTCCAACTTATGGCTACTACAAATCATGCCACAGTAAATAGACTGGTATATATTTCCTAAGCATACAAACTCAGAATTGCTAGGTATTCTTGAACTTGTTATAAGGAATGTTTCCCTACTCCCAAGGTCATAACCATTTCAGTATATAGCTTTTTCATATTCCTGTTTTTATCCTCTTGGATCTTACCTTGGTGTATATAGTTCATGTTTTTTTCCCCTGGAGAACAGATTACCTCCAAATCATTGTTCACATAGTCTCATTATCTTCTCACCTCCCACTGTCATTTCTATCATATTCTAAATTCTAATAAATGCATAGGTATTTCCAGAATCTCTTCTGTTCTGCTAAATCAATATAAAAGTCTCTTCCTTTCCAATACTTACAACTTATTTATTGGTGAAAATCTCCAGATCTATGCAGACAGCAATAAGAAGCATATTTCCCATTCCCAATTTTAGTGGAAATGCATCTAAAGTTTCAGCATTACCTGCACCATCAGCTTTTTTGTTGGGTGCAGGATTTTTATCATACAAATGTCTTTCTCTTCAGTATATATTCCCTGGTGTCCAGGACATTTTTCGCTTTTGTTTTCCTCATTTGTGATACTTCCCTTGAGCATGATTATTTCTGATGTGCTACGAGGCTTAAATTCTTGATGAACGCTTTCCAATTTTTAAGATATTTACAGGGTTTTTAATGAGTATGAATCTTCTGATGTCTAATGTGGTGTGACTTCTGGCTAAAAGCTTTCCCACATTCACTACATTGATAAGGCTTCTTACCTGTGTGTATTCTCAAATGCAGAGCAAGGGTTGAGAACTGAGAGAAAGCTTTCCCACACTCATTACAACCATAGGGTTTCTCACCTGTATGGCTTCTCACATGCACAGTAAGAGATGAACTTTGAGAGAAGGCTTTTCCACATACATTGCATTCATAAGGTTTATCACCTGAATGAATTCTCACATGTACAATAAGCGATGTTCGTTGAGAGAAGGCTTTTCCACATTCATTACATTCATAGGGTTTCTCTCCAGTGTGAATGTTTTGATGTTTTATGAGGTACTTCTTCTGGCCAAAAGCTGTTCCACATTCACTACATTTAAACGGTTTCTCTCCAATATGAATTTTCTCATGCTCAGTAAGGTTAGACTTGCCACTGAAGGTTTTTCCACACTCCTTACATACAAAAGGCTTCTCTCCCGTGTGAGTTCTCTGGTGTCTGATGAGGTTTGACTTCTGAATGAAAGCTTTCCCACAATCCTTACACTCAAAAGGTTTCTCTCCAGTGTGAATTTTCTGATGGGTAAGGAGGTTTTCCTTCTGGCTGAAGGATTTTCCACATTCATTACATTCAAAAAGCTTCTCTCCAGTATGGGTGTTCTGATGTTTAATGACATACTGCTTTTGGCTAAAGGCTTTTCCACATTCATTACATTCAAAAGGTTTCTCTCTATTATGAAAATGCTCATGCTCGGTGAGATTTGATTTGTGGCTGAAGACTTTCCCACATACCTTACAGGCAAAGGGGTTTTCCCCACTACAAATTCTCTGCTGACTGAGGTGTGACATCTGAATGGAAGCTTTCCCACATTCACAAGGTTTCTCTCGAGTATGAATTTTTTGATGAATGAGGATTTACTTTTGGCTGAAGGTATTTCCACATTTCTTACATTTGAAGGGCTTCTCTGTGTGTATGACCTTTCAAATGTAAAGGGATAAAATTCAAGAGAAAACTTTATAATACACAGTACATTATAAGCTTTGTCTCCAAGTATAAATTTTCTAATGCTCAATGAGGTTTTGTTATCACTGGTTTCTCTCCAGTAAAAATTTTCTTCTGCTCAATGAGATCTGTCATCTAGCTAAAGGCTCCTCAGTATTCCTTAGAAGAGGGTTTCTCTCCAGCCTGACTTCTACATTTAATGAGGTGTGACGTGAGTGAAAGTTTTCCCACATTCAGTAAATTCATAGGGTTTCTCGCCAGTATGAATACTCTGTTTTCAGAAGGAGTTCAAACTTTTTTAACTGAAGGCATTTCCACACTGACTTACACTCAAAGGGGGTTATTACCATAAAGAATAAACTGTGGCAGGATTTCCAAACTAAATTAAGTTGATGATTCTTTCCTACACAACTTCCCTTGTGATTATAAGCTAAACTCTGTTTCAAATTCTTTCTAGGTAAGTTGAAAAAGATGTTGCCCTTAAAAGATATAATGTCTGAGATCAAAGAAAGTATTTTTCCAATTTTCTTATATTCACTGCTTTTTTTTTTCCTCAGTCTTTACTGGAGATGGATGCAACTTCCTTCCCAAGTCTTGTTGCCTCTCTATCTGCTCATCATCTTCTCAGGCTTCTTCTAAAATGGAGTACAAAGAATCATCATTTAAAGGAGTTAATGTATAAAGTGCTTAGTACTGTGGCTGACAAATGGTAAACACTCGATAATATTAGCTTTATGTTACCATTATTTATGAGTTTTCCCATTACTAGTAATAAAATTTTGGATTGTGCTTTTGGGATGAACTCTGGAAGCCCGCCTCACAGTATGAAAAAATCCTCATGACCAATGTCACCAAATAACTTTTGAGAAGGAAACGCTTGTGGAAGATATCTGCATAGAAAATTAACATTCATGGGCACACAGAGCGTAAGGATTACTCTTGAAAAATAACCTTTCCCATTTCTTAGTTCAGCAAATTGAATGTAACCAACAATGAGGAATTAACAAGTAGGATAAAAAGATGACATAAAATTGAGAAAGTCTCCCAGGATGTCTAAGAAAAGGAAAGGAATTAACCAACAACTGCTTCCTTCCAAAACTCCAATTAAAGACAAGAAAAGGGAAAATGGTAGAAGCTCACAAGAAAAAATGGACAGGACTGGAGACATCAATACACACAGACATTAACAAATTTCCTGATAACATAAGAGCACACAAAAGATTTTCAACACAGCAGAGCTGAGGAAGTTTAAGTACATAAAGATACTGCAGAACATGCCAATGTCAAACCAATTTATGCCACAAAATATCAGAAAGACTAAGGAAATGAAGAGAATCAAGTACCTCAAAAGAAGGAATAAAGGATGGTAGCTGAAAAAAAGATTATATAAAGTGCAGTTGGAGCACTGCCCTCCCAGTAGGACCACTCCTTTGTGTGAAATGGAAATTATACTTTGCAGAAATTTAATCAGAGAAACTCCAGGCTCAGGGACATCCAGTAATAGATGACAAGGGAGAGGTGCTATACTGAAATCGATGGGATTAAATCTGTACATAATATGGTGAGCCCTCCAGGACAGTCTGTAGCTCATGCCAAAAAGGGTTGGCCATCAGGTATATATACCTGTGAGCAGGGTATGAAAGGCTCCTTCCCTGAAAAGCCCATGAAAAACCTCAGTAGATACCCCTCCAAGATGTTATCTGCCACCTGTACTCTCTTTTTTTTTGGCCAAAACAAAGGACCTGGACACACCAGGGTTTGTGTGAGTAAAGCAGTATAATCATTCTGTGGAGACCCTGGTCCATAAGGCATTCCCCCCCCCAACTTTTTTTTAAGATTTTATGTTTAAGTAATCTCTACACCCAACGTGGGGCCTGAACTCACAACCCTGAGATCAAAAGTCACACGCCCACCAACTGAGCCAGCCAGGCATTTTTTTTTTTTTTTAAGATTTATCTGAGAGAGAGAGCATGAGTGGGGGGAGGAGGGGCAGGGCAGAGGGAAAGGGAGAAGCAGACTCCCTGCTGAGCACAGAGCCTGACACGGGGCTCGATCTCACGACCCTGAGATCATGAGCTGAGCCAAAACCAAGAGTCAAACACTTAACCAACTGTGCCACCCAGGCACCCCACCCCATGGCATTCTACTTTTGATTCACTGAAACCTACCAGATAACTAGAAGCAACCAGGCATGAAAGAACTTGTGATCACCTTTTAGTGGATCAGTCTAAAATATGGTCACAGCCAATATTTCACACACATTTGAGGAACCCCTACTAATAAGACAAATCAACATCAAAAGAAAAAATAAGAATGTCTGAGGAATATAGGTAAGGAACAATAAATAACAACAAAACCTAAAACCAATCAGACAGATGATATTTATCAGTGAAACAATAATCCAGTTCTGTAAGCAAGAAACAAAAAGTTCCTTTGAAATTAAGATGGGGAGTGGGAAGTTAGACTGTATTATTCACTAATTAACAGGGTCATCTTACTGGAGAAGGGTTATAGTACTTCACCCTAGCAAACTCAGGCATGGCCAGCTAACCTGTTTGGCCAATGAAATATAAGCCCAAGTGACAAGTATTTCCCAGGAGAAGCTTTTTTTTTTTAAAAGATTTTATTTATTTATTTATTTATTTGAGAGAGAGAATGAGAGAGAGAGAGCATGAGAGGGGGAGGGTCAGAGGGAGAAGCAGACTCCCCGCCGAGCAGGGAGCCTGACGTGGGACTCGATCCCGGGACTCCAGGATCATGACCCAAGCCGAAGGCAGTCGCCCAACCAACTGAGCCACCCAGGCACCCCAGAAGCAGCTTTAAAAAGACAAATTCAGGGACACCTGGATGGCAGTCGGTGGAGCATGAGACTCTTGATCTTGGGGTTGTGAGTTGAGCCCCATGTTGGGTACAGAGATTACTTAAAAATAAAATCTTAGGGGCGCCAGGGTGGCTCAGTCAGTTAAGTGGCTGCCTTTGGCTCAGGTCATGATCCCAGGGTCCTGGGGTCAAACCCCACGTTGGGTTCCCTGCTCAGTAGGAAGTATGCTTCTCCCTCTCCCTCTGACCCTGCTCTCTCTTGCTCACTCTCTCTCAAATAAAATCTTTAAAAAATAAATAAAAATAAAAATTAAAAAAAAATTTAAAAAGATAACAAATTCAATGCCAGTTACTCAAAAAATTAAAAATAGGGGCACCTGGGTGGCTCAGTCATTAAGCGTCTGCCTTCAGCTCAGGTCATGATCCCAGGGTCCTGGGATCGAGCCCTAAATCAGGCTCCCTGCTCCGTGGGAAGCCTCCTTCTCCCTCTCCCACACCCCCTGCTTGTGTTCCTTCTCTCGCTCTGTCTCTGTCAAATGAATAAAATCTTTTAAAAAAAAATTAAAAATAGAACTAACCATATTCACTTCTGGTTATATATCCAAAGAAAATGAAAACATTAAGTCAAAAAGATATATGTGCCCCCATGTTCACTGCAGCATTATTTACAACAGCCAAGATATGGAAACAATCTAAATGTCCATCAACAGATGAATAGAGAAAATATGGTACATACATACAATGGAGTATTATTCAGCCATTAAAAAGCACGAAATCTTGCCCATTTGCAACAACATGGATGGAACTTGAGGATATTACAGTAAGTGAAAGAAGTCAGAGAAAGACAACTAATGTATGATCTCACTTATATGTGGAATCTTTTTTTTTTTAAGATTTTATTTATTTATTTGACAGAGAGAGACAGCGAGAGGGAACACAAGCAGGGAGAGTGGGAGAGGGAGAAGCAGGCTCCTGGCTGAGCAGGGAGCCCAATGCGGGGCTTGATCCCAGGGCCCTGGGATCATGACCTGAGCCGAAGGCAGATGCTTAACAACTGAGCCACCCAGGTGCCCTTCTATGTGGAATCTTAAACAAACCAAGCTCATAGATAGAGAACATACTGATGGTTGCCAGAGGTGGGGCTGGGGTGTGGGCAAAATGGGTGAAAGGGGTCAAAGGTACAATTACCAATTATAAAATAAGTCAGGAGGATGTAATGTACAGCATGGAAACTACAGTTAGGAATACCGTATTGCATATTTGAAAGTTGCTAGAGAGTAGTTCTTAAATGTTCTCACTGGAAGAAAAAAAAGTTCTTTAACCATGTGTGTTGACCGATGCTAACTAGAGTTACTGTAGTGATCATTTCATAATACATACAAGCATCAATTATGTTGCAGTGGGTGGGGGGATGGGGTAATTGGGCGATGGGCATTAAGGAGGGGACCTGATATAATGAGGACTGGGTGTTATTTGTAACTGATGAATCACTAAATTCTACCCCTGAAACTAATAATATACTATATGTTAACTAGCTTGAATTTAAATAGTCTTAGGGAAAAAAATATTATATTGTACATCTAAAACTAATATAATGTTGTAGGTGAATTAGACCTCAATAAATTTTTTTAAAAGACAAATTCAAAGCATAAACCAGGTAACATACTAGCTGAGTGAAGTTAAGTTCCAGAAAACAAAAGAAGAACACCGATTAGAGGAAATACTCAAAGAAAAACAAAACAAAAAAAAGCTTCATCTCCTGTAAGCCATGAATCTCTAGACTTAAAGGGCACACTTAGTACCTTGCATGATGAAAACAAGATGCATACCTACATGTATCACCATGACATTTCCCCAAAGAAAAAATAAAGAGACCATAAATAAAAAAAACTATTATATATGTACACACACACACATATGTATCACCCAACTACACGTAGATATGTATCGCCGAAAGGAACAGGAATCAGAATGTCGCCAAATTTCTCAACAGAAACACGAGAAGCTAAAAGACAAAACTCTGAGGAAAAATTCTAAGCTTAGCCTGCCAATCTAATGGGACAAAGGCATTTTTCAGATATGCAAATGTTAAAAAAATTTTATCTCAATGCACCTTTCCTCTCAGGATACTACTAGATGAGCTCCACCAAATTAGTAGACAGAGAAGGTGATATAGAATCCAAGAAAGGGGATTTAACATAGGGAAAACAATGAAAAAAAGTCTTTGATAATGTTGATGAAAAACTACAAGATAAGAGCTATCAGGTCAAAGCACAGCCAGTTCCGACTGGAGCAGAAGGACAAAAATTCTGCAGGTAAATCTCCATGGGGAAAAAAATTTCCCAATGCCTTTGACCATGTGGAAACTAGTATTTAGAGGGCTTTTAACTATTCTATGGAGTCTGCACTAAATACAGAAAACCAAGCAAACAAAAGTATGACAAATGTAAATTCCATGAAAGAAAAAAAAGTATAATAAAATTCTATACATCTACACAAATACTTCTGTTGTACATGAAAGGATAATAGTTGTCTCAAAAAGATGTCTTAAATCATTTAAGTTGTGAGCTAAACTACTCACTTTTTTCATGGAGCACTACTGATTTACTTCAATAAATTAATAAATGACTGCCTTACAAATTATGGTTATTCAGACTTGGGTATTATTTGGCAGGTACTTTCTTGAGACAGAACCCCTAAGTGAGAATCATTTCAAGGAAAACAACTGACAGTACCTGTTGCCAATGATAAAATTTGAGTTTTCAAACAAAAATTAAAATTTTGGAAAATCTATTCTTCACCATGAGATTGATAG